AATTGTGTGATGCTCTTGATGTTTATGTGTTATTCTTACCGAATCTTGCAATTAGAAGACGAACCGTATTCTTGTTGATATAAAAGTGATTAGAACCCTAGGTTGTATCGTATGATCTTATTCTTGGATTATCGGGTGGGGAAATCGCATGTTTGGGTGTTGATTATATTTAGAAAAGCATGATAGGTTATGTGCCGTTCGTTTCTTGTATTTGATTCATTAATTGTCTACGTGTTGTCGTTAATTGCGTTGTAAAGTGTCTAAGCATGGTTTCGGGTTCCACAACGGTTCCCGGGGCGTAAAGTGTGTGAAAAGAGTCAGTGGGGGGTAGGGGACCCGCCACCTACCCACGGCCGTGAAACACCGCCCGGCAGCGGGTAGCCGGCGGGCGGGCAGCTGCCCGCCGGCGACCCGCTGCCCGGAACAGTAATTCCGGCGGGCAGCCGGCGGGTGGCCCCCCACCCACCGGCTACCCGCTGGAAATTTCCCCAATTCGGGATCCCGGCTTCCCCGTTTGATGTTCCCCCGATCCCCGTGGTGTCCCAACGGACTCCGTTCATCGTGCCTATGTCTAGTTTGATATTTCGGGTGCCGTTCGTAGGTTTACGAGTCTATTACATTGCATGCTAGTTGAATTGGTATCCCGTTGACCTAGGTGGTAGAAGTATGAACCCCTTAGGACTATTCTTAGTATGTGATGGATCACGCATAGGTTTTGTTATACGTTTTCTCCCCCTTCCTAATGTGTAATGTGGGTTGCATGTGCTTGCTATGTGTTATGTGTGTGTGTTACCCCAATTCGGTTGCGATCGGATTGGTTATCCTGAGCTGCGGTTCAGAAGCTGGCTGCGGTCAGATTGATACTCTTGGGCTGCGGTCCACCGTTTGGTTGCGATCAAACGTTTCTATACGAGCTGCGGTTCGTCCTTTTTCTTGGATGCGGTCAGATGACATTCTCTTGGGCTGCGGTCCACTGTTTGGTTGCGATCAAACACCATGATGAGCTGCGGTTCATCGGTCGGTTGCGATCGACCCCTCCGTGTTGCGATACGGGGCAGGGTGCTGCGGGGCCGTGTCAGAGCTATATGCGCTGACCCTCATGTATGGGCATGCGATTGGTCCTGTGGCGCCAACAAAGTGTGCTATGTGTTGTGACATGGACGAGTTGTGATTACGAGTGTCTTGGGGGATGTGACTATGGGATTTATATTGGGGATTGTTCATGTTGGGTTATGATCATTGTTTATGCTTTGCCCTATCTGCCTTATCTGTTGTGAACTGCATATGCTCGTTATAACTGTTGCTTGTGTCTGGCCTTATCTGTCGAGTCATTCCCGGTTTTAAAGCTAGAGTTCGTAGGATATATCTTCATGCTCAAAATGGTTTTCGTATATCTATATATATCTCTATATGTATTGTATTTCAACGCGTTGGAATGGGTTACCAGCATCTCTCGCTGAACAGATATATTTGGCTTTCAGGCACAGAAGATTAAGTCACTGGAGTGCGCTAGAACTTAGAAGTAGATAGTTTCCCTTTTGGCCTGCATGCCACGTTTACGTATTTACGCTTTGAGGATATTAGTTAGTTAGCCTGTGCACTTGGGTTCTCTAGCCCAGGTGTGGCATAGCACCCCGAACGCTTGTATTTATATCTTGGGATTTAATAAGATTCTACCTTTATTATAAGTTTTAAATGTCTTGAAAATCTGGGGTGTTACATGAACCCTTCCTCTTTCCCGAGTAGGTACCCGAGGTAGTCTTTGTACCCCGTATTTTGGGTATCAATCCACCCCTTTCGGTCGTAATTTGACACACCCGTGGTGGTCAATTTCAAGAGTTTGGCCAAGCGGCATTCGGAGAGTATGATTTCCTTGCCGCGGACCTTGGTGGTGATTTCTAGTTTATCACCCCGTTTGGTGGCTACTAGATGTTGATAGAATTCTTTCACCAATTCGGGGTACGTATTGTAAAACCCTAGATTTTCAGGATATTTAAAACTTATGAAATAAAGGAGAAATCTTATTAAATCCCAAAACAGAATACAAGAGTACGGGGTGCTATGCCACACCTGAGCTAGAGAACTCAGGTGCACAGGCTAACTAACTAATGTTTCAATAATGTAAATGCGTAAACATGGCACGCAGGCCGAAGGGGAAACTAACTACTTCTACGTTCCAAGTTCTAGCGCGCTCCAGTGACTTACTCTTCTGTGCCTGAAAGCCAAATATATCTGTTCAGCGAGAGATGCTGGTAACCCACTCCAACGCGTTGAAATACATTACATATAGAGATATATATATAGATATACGAAAACCCTTTTGAAGCATGAAGATATATCCTACGAGACTCTAGCTTTTAAAACCGGGAATGACTCGACAGATAAGGCTAGACACAAGCAACAGTTATAACAAGCGTATACAATCCTTAACAGGCAAGACAGATAAAGCTGAGCACAATTAATAATCATAACCCGATGTAAACAATCCCCAGCATAAATCCCATAGTCACATCCCCCAATATACTCATAAACACAACTCATCCATATCTCATCACATAGCACACTTTGTTGGGGCCACAGGACCAATCGCATGCCCATACATGAGGGTCAGCGCATATAGCTCTGACACGGCCCCGCAGCACCCTGCCCCGTCTCACATTACGGAGGAGTCGATCGCAACCGACTAATGAATCGCAGTTCTATATAATATTTATATACCTGACCGGTCTTTACCAGCCTGGTTAACAGTTGGGATGGTTCTCAACCCATTCAACTGCCCGTATAGTGGACCTTTGTCCTATATAATATTTATATTCCTGGCCGGTCTTTACCAGCCTGGTTAACAACCGGTATGGTTCTCAGCCCATCCGACTGCCCGTATAGTGGAACTTAGTCCTATATAATATTTATATACCTGACCGGTCTCTACCAGCCTGGTTAACAGCCGGTATGGTTCTCAGCCCACCCGACTGCCCGTATAGCCCGATTGATCTCAACCAAATCGGGGTAACACGCACACATAACACGTAGCAAGCACATGCAACCCACATTAACACATTGGGAAAGGGGAGAAAACGTATAACAAAACCTATGCGTGATCCTTCACATGCTAAGAATAGTCCTAAGGGGTTCATACACCTTTCACCTAGGTCAGCGGGATACCAATTCAACTAGCATGCAATATATAAGACTCATACAACCTACGAACGGTACCCGAAATACCAAACTAGACATAGGGACGACAGACGGAGTCCGTTGGGACACCACGGGGGTCGGGGAAACATCAAACGGGGAAGCCGAAACCCCGGGTTGGGGTATTTTCCAGCGGGTAGTCGGTAGGTGGGGGTCCACTCGCCGGCTGCCCGCCGGCGTGCACTGTTCCGGGCAGCGGGTGCCCGGCGGGCAGCTGCCCGCCCGCCGGCTGCCGGCTGCCGGGACTGCCCGACTTGGCCGCGGGTAGGTGGCGGGTCCCCTACCCCCACCTACCCCCCACTGACTCTTTTCATCACAAAAACGCTCCGGGAACCATTGTGGAACCCGAAACCATGCTTAGACACTTTACAACGCAATTAACGATCAACACGTAGTCAATTAACGGATCAAATACGAGAAACGTACGGCACATAACCTATCATGCTTTTCTAACATAATCGACACCCCAAACATGTGATTTCCCATCCGATACACCAAGAATGATATCATACGATACAACCTAGGGTTCTAATCACTTTTATACCCACAAGAATACGATTCGTCCTCCAATTACAAGATTCGGTGCAAATAACACATAAGCATCAAGAATGCCATACAATTATCAAGAATGACATATAAACATCAAGAACTCCACATAATCATCAAGAACATCATAATTATCAAGAATCTCCCAATATCAAGATCACCCAAGGGATTATCCCATCAATCATCAATAATAATATCGCAAATCATCAATACACAATAATATGGGGAAATCCTACGGGGGAAATCATAGCTATGAAAATAGGTTTTGTTGAGACATGGGTTACCTCTTAGCCTTAATTAATTCCTCGGCTATGAAGGGCCTTTCTTTAAGCTTTCTTGCTTTCTTGATTTCTTCTAGGGGGATTCTTGGAGCTCTTTGGGGTGGTGGGCGTTATTCTTGTGGTGAGGGGTTTCTAGGTGCCCCTTAATCCTCTATTTATATATTTAGGAGTCCTAGTTAGGAACTAATATTATGGGCTTGCTAATTCTATTTCTTTTGGAACTAAGGATTGGGTTTAGGGATAAGGGCCCATGGATTATGGTGGGCCTTTTTCCCTAATTAATTATTATAATTTATTCTTTCTCTTGGGCTATGGGTTAATTAATTAATTGGTTTTAGGGGCCGTAACACGGGGTGTTACACGTATCCCCCTTGACGGTGAGGTACGCATCCAAAAGCCCTTGGTGATAAAGCATATCGACCAATTCTGGAGAAAATTGGTCGGGTTCAAGGGCTTTACCTCCGATTACGGTATAGCCGGTGCTGCTCCATTCTGGGGTACGGGTTCCGAGGGTCTTTTTTGGCATTTTTGGGTAGATGGCACTTTTCCGGCGACCTACCGGCGTGTTTTCCGACGGTGCGGTTTTCTCCGTCGGCGAGGAAGGTGGCGGCGAACTCGGCTCCGGTGACGGCTCGGCGAGGGGAGGCGGCGATTTTGGGGTGGAGTCGGGCATTGTGTGGCAGCGGGCGGTGTGCAGGCAAGTGGCGGGCGGCGCTGGTGTTGCGGGTTCCCTCCGGCGGCGATGGCGGCGTGCGACGGGGTGCGACCTGGGCGGTTGGCGGTGGCCCGGCTGCTGGCGGCGGTGGGTTCGTGGGTCCGGCGTTGTGGGGCGGTGAAGTGAGTGGGAGAAGGGAGGAGAGAGGGAGGGGAAGTGAGGAAGAAGAAGAAGAAGAAGAAGGAGGGTTTTTGATTTGGGGATTTTGGTGGGTTTTAGGGATTTGTAGGGGTTTTAAAAAGGGAGTGTTCCCTTGAGATTTCAAGAAGTATCCTTAGCCTAGTGGTCAAGATCTTGGTCTTATATGTGGGAGGTTAAGGGTTCAATTCCCATTGGTAACACTAAGTTTTTGATAGTGTGGTCCTTGTCTTTTTCCTTCTTTTGTCTTCTAGTGGTGGGGGGCTTGGCTTGCTTTCCTTATGTATAATTTTAGTTCCACCCTCGTAAGTAGAGTCGAATTTCGATCTAGTCTTTTATTTATAATAATTCTGAAGTAATTAAGCTAAGTAAGTAGTTCCACTACGAAGGTGGTTACAAGGAATTTGTCGGTTTATCCTAGACAGAACTCGTCTTCTTGGTTTTCTTTCGCGGGGTTTGCGTGGTCCTCGTCTTCTGGGGTTAGGTTCCCCCCATCGAGGTTGTTCTCGTTCCCGAGTTCGGCCTGGGTGCGGCTCATAATGAGTGGTGCGGCTCATAACGAATATCTTTCCGGGAGCGCCGTAGTTTCCTTGGTGAGTGGTGCCCCCGTGTTGACCCACGGTGGTGGTGCGTGGCTTTTGGGGTTGAGTGCACTGGAAGGCCTTGTGTCCTTCTTCCCCGCAGTTGAAGCATCGCCAGGGATTGCCCATGCAGTCTTTGCCTCTATGGCTTTTGTTGCATTTTGGGCAAGGGAAGCTTCTTGTGTTAGCTTTGTTGCTCCCTAGGGGTGGCCTTTGGCTGGCCAGGTTACTTGGTCTTGTGTTGGTGTCGTTTCTTGCCTTTTTTACGGGTGGTGTCCCACCTCCGGTGTTTCTTTTCCGTATTTGTTCTTGAACCCCTCGTTTTAGCAGTTGGATTCGATCGAGATTTGCGGCACTGGAGTAAGCCTTGTTGAGGGTCCGGGGTCTGCTCACTACTAGTGCTTTTCGGGCTTCGAAGTTGAGACCCGATACGAATCTCTCTATTTTGGTCACCTCAGTGGGGACTAGTTCCGGTGCGAAGTGTGCTAGTTCTAGGAATCGTTTATGGTATTCCATGACGGTGGTCGTTCCTTGTTTTAGATGGAGGAACTCTTCGTGCATAGATGCTTTTACGTGTGTTGGATAGAATCGCTCTCGTAGACGTGTTTTGAGGTTTTCCCAGTTGAACCCTGGTTCTTGTCGGTAAGCGGGTCCCTCGCGGATCCACCAATGGTCTGCCTCGTGTCCGAAGTAGAACGAGGCTATCTCCACGCGACGTTCCTCTGGGCATTCTACTAGCCCTAGAATTTTGTCGAGGGTCCGGATCCATTCCTCAAGGGTTACGGGGTCTTCTTCTCCCGAAAACATGGGGGGTCGATGATTCGAAACTTGTCGGGCGACGTCCAAGTTTGTGTTTGATGGAGATGGTGGGGGCCTATTATTGCGAAGAGCCACGTCGCTTAGTGCTTGGGCGACTTGTGTCAGTTGCTGCAGGGTTTGGGTTAGGGGGTCGTGTACGTTGGGTTCTGGTGTCCTTGATTGTCTTCTGTTTGGCGCCATGTTGTCGTCCTTCTGGGTCAATGTTTATAGGGATGTTAGGTGAGAGTTTTGCACTCTTACTTTGGCGTGATAAGCGGAGAGAAAGTCCCCTTTAGATAAGTGAAGGGTAAAGTGAGGGAGGGTTATGTGTAGGGTTCACAGTCTTACCGCGCGTCTTAAGGTTCCTGAGTCCTACGTTCCTAAATACCTAGAGTTCAAGCCTATTTTCTTAAAGTCTAGTCTTAAGAGTCTTATCCTAGGGTCAAACTTAGGCTCTGATACCAACTGTAACACTCGAAATTTTTCAACTTTTAAGACTTATATAATAAAGGTAAATTCTCATTAAATCCCAAAACATAATATAAAGAGTACGGGGTGCTATGCCACGCCTGAGTTAGAGAACTCAGGTGCACAGGCTCACTAACTAATATCCTCAATAATATAAATGCATAAGCGTGGCACGCAGGCCGAAAGGGAAACTATCTATTTCTACGCTCCAAGACTCTAGCGCGCTCCAGTGTCTACCCCTCTGTGCCTGAAAGCCAAATATATCTGTTCAGCGAGAGATGCTGGTAACCCACTCCAACGCGTTGAAATACAATACATATAGGCATATATATAGATATAAGAAAAACCATTTCGAAGCATGAAGATATATCCTAAGAGACTCTAGCTTTTAAAACAGGGAATAGACTCGACAGATAGGGATAAGCACAGTCAACAGTCATATAATTCACAAGCATAGGGAACAGACCTGACAGATAGAGATAAGCACAGCCAATAGTCACAACCAAGCATATACGGTTCACTAGCATGTATCCTATGGTCACACTTTCATAACATTCGTAACATCAAACCATCCATATCTCATCACATAGCACACTTTGTTGGCGCCACAGGACCAATCGCATGCCCATACATGAGGGTCAAGCATATAGCTCTGACACGGCCCCGTAGCACCCTGCCCCGTATCGCAACACGGAGGGGTCGATCGCAACCGACCGATGAACCGCAGCTCATCATAATGTTTGATCAAAACCAAACAGTGGACCACAGCCCAAGAGTAGTCATCTGACCGCAGCCAGGAATATGAACCGCAGCTCATGTAAAACATTTGATCGCAACCAAACGGTGGACTGCAGCCCGAGAGTGTAAATCTGACCGCAGCCAGCTTCTGAACCGCAGCTCAGGAATAACCAATTTTATCGCAACCAAATTGGGGTATCATGCACACATAACACATAGCAAACACATGCAACCCACATTGACACATTGGGAAGGGGGAGAAATCGTATACCGAAACCTATGCGTGAGCATCCACCTACTAAGAATAATCCTAAGGGGTTCATATTTCTTACACCTAGATCAACGGGATACCAATTTAACTAGCATGTAATATATAAGACTCATTCATCCTACGAATGGTACCCGAACATCAAACTAGACATAGGCACGATAGACGGAGTCCATTGGGACACCACGGGGGTCGGGGGAATAACAAACGGGGAAGCCGGGATCCCGAAGTGGGACTATTTCCAGCGGGTAGCCGGTGGGTAAAGGGTCACCCACCGGAGACAAATTTCCGGGCAGCGGGTGCCCGGCGGGCAGTCGCCTGCCCGCCGGCTGCCCGCTGCCGGTGACGTCCATTCTGGCCGTGGGTAGGTGGCAGGTCCCCAACCCCCCACTGACTCTTTTTCACAAGTAACGCCCCGGGAACCTTTATGGAACCCGAAACCATGCTTAGACACCTTTAAACGCAATTGATGACAACACCTAGAGAATTAACGGATCAAAGGCAAGAAACATACGGCACATATCCTATCATGCTTTCTAAACATAATTAACACCCAAACATGCGAATTCCCACCCAATATATCAAGAATAACACCACACGAGTTTCACGATACATCCTAGGGCTCTAATTATATTTAAATCATCAAGAACGTAATTCATCCTTTAATCATCAAGAACCAATCCAATTTATCAAGAACATCACACAATCATTAGGAATCTAGGTTTATCAAGAATATCACACAATCGTCAAGAATCTCTTTCCATCATCAAGATTATCAAGATTACCCAAGAAATCATAACATCAATTATCAAGATCACACCATCAATATCATAGACGAATCATCAATACACAATAATGTAGAGGGATGCCTAGAGGGAGATCATAGCTAAGAAAATAGGTTTTGTTGAGACATGGGTTAACTCTTAGCCTTAATTAATTTCCTTGGCTATGACGGATCTTTCTCTAAGTCTTTCTTCTTTCTTGATTTCTCCTAGGGGAATTCTTGGAGCTCCTTGTGTGGTGAGAGATTATTGTGGTGTGGGTTCTAGGTGCCTCATATGTCCCCTATTTATATATCTAAGAGTCCTAGTTAGGGCCCAATACTATAGGCTTGCTAACTCTATTCCTTTTAGGACTAGGGGTTGGGTTTAGAGATGAGGGCCCATGGACTATGGTGGGCCTTTTCCTAATTAATTATTGTAATTTAATTCTTTCTTTGGATAATTGGTTAAATGATTAATTGGTTTTAGGGGTCATACCACGGGGTGTTACATCAGCTCAAGGAAGAGCATGCTCTCAACCCACTACCCAAGAACTAAATCATGAACCTACTGCCTTGGATGACAACCGGGAGAAACTGGAGAATGTTATTCTCCGTTTAGTGGACAAGATGGAAAGTTTAATCCAAGATGTGACACCCCGTAATCCAAATTCAATTAAGGGATTAATTAAGTAATTAATCCTAATCCAATTGCTAATTTAATTCCTTAAATTCCTGAAAATTCAATAGTTGGGGACTAGTAATTGACTAGTCAACCCAAAGTCAAAAGTTATACCTAAAGCTTTGTGAGTTGTTCCCTTGTTCCCTTACACATCTCATCTTAGTAAGGGAAAATAAGACTTTTCCTTGGCAATAGTCTTTCAAGCTAACCTAGGAAGACACATTTCATTTCTTCAAACACTCTCCAAGAGAAAAATCATAAGCCCTCTCTCTTTTCTCTAAAAGCTAGTTAGCTTTCTCTCCAAGCTACACCTAGGGCTACCAAGATCTTTCAAGTTTGCTTTCAAGATTCTACCTTTCATACTTTTGAGCATCTAGGAGGGTAAGATCTAAGCTCCTCTTCTGTTTCTAGTGTTTTCTAAGGTATCTTTTGATAAAGGTGAAATCTTTATGTTGTTTTGGTGTGTTCTTGAAGTGGGTGTGGAAAGGGAACCTTGTTGAGAGCTTTGTGAAGTGTTTAAAGTAAAAGTTGAGTCTTCAAAAGGTAACCCATGCTCTACAAAATCTATTTTTCTTACCTATATGATGATTTCTTGATTCTACATGTGTTTTTCTATGAAATGTGAGTGTTTATGCATTGTCTTGTGAAAATTCATATCTAGAGCTTGTTATTAGGGTTCATGTATGCCATTGCTTGGCTATTCCTTTGATTCAAGTCATTTTTTTGTATATGGTTAGATTTGGCATGTTTTGGACTTGAATTTGAGTTTGGAGTTGAAAATCCCCGAAGGGATTGTTTGTGGTACAGGACATGTACCTGTGGGCGGAACGGCGGGCAGGGGTCC